AAGAATTGTTTGGACTTTTTATTTGGTGGATTGTAAAGAAATTTCAGTGGATTTTATTTTGTAGTGGACTTTATATAAAAAAATATTATTTATTTTTATTTGGGGATTAAGGCAAATCGTGATGGATGATGTAGATATTACATTTCACAGTTATTATGTTATAGGATGAATTTATAAAAACACTGTCACTTTATATGACCGTTTGGTAACAAGCCTGGACTTTAGACATTGCAGGGACATAAGCTGATTATAAATCGGTTTCGTTTCTAAAGATATATATTCTTGGAGTCATGGTAACAGCCAAATTGCAGGCAGATGAATCTACCTAGTACATTGGTTGTTTTTACAACGTAAAAAGTTCCTCAACATTCTTGCCAATTAGTCGGTATAAAAACAAAGTCTTTAAGTTACTTGTGTGTAAAACCTTTTTTTTTGCACGCTTTTGCAAAAACATGTCTAGCCACACTAAGGAATCTATGCAAAATGTGGTTCCTAACCCTGATGTAACAGAGCTCCCATCTTGGATCGTATATATAAAATGAATACAGTGGGAGCAGTTTATACCTTTTTTGGAGGCAGACTCTTCTTACTAAAAAGGTACAGAGACGCACCCGCAGCCCAAACTCCCTCAACAGCAGCTGAAGGCCTCCAGTGTGTACCTGCACTAAATCCCACTTACCAAAGTAAAAAAATATTACTTTGGTATAAGTTGATCTGAATAATTGCAAAGTGCTCATGGGCAGAACAATTCACAGAACAATGCAATGTTAATTAATTTCAGGTACTTGTATAGTGCCGTCAATTTACAAATCACTTTACAATATATACATATATAGCGTACAGTCACATCAGTCCCCAACCCTCAATCTAAGGTCCATAACTTCCATGCATGCATACATACACATATTAGGGCCAATTTTAGACTGGGTACAATTAACCTACCAGCATGTCTTTGGAGTGTGGGAGGAAACTGAAGTCCCTGGAGGAAACCCGCACAGGGAGAACATGCAAACTCCAGGAACTACTGATGCCCTGGCTGGGATTCATACCAATGACCCTAGTACTGCCAAGCGGGAGTGATAACCATTTAGCCACTGTGCTGCCCTTCCAAAAGTATTCATACTGCTTTTGAAGGCAATTGGTTCCACTAGATTTTAGTTAGGGGTATCAGAGTAAAGGGGGCTGAATACAAATGCACGCCACACTTTTCAGATATTTATTTGTAAAAAAATTTGAAAACTATTTAATTTTCTTTCTACTTCACAATTATGTGCCACTTTGTGTTGTGCCACTTTGTGTTGGTCTATCTATCACATAAAATCCCAATAAAATAAATGTATGTTTTTGGTTGTAACTTGACATGACGTGAAAAATGTCAAGGGGTATGAATACTTTTTCAAGGCACTGTATGTGTTCAGTAAAAAATAGGAGATGTAACTTTTAAAAGTACTGGCTGGGTGGTTCTGTGGCCAAGCTGTATTGCTTAAAGTGGTAGTAAACCCTTATATAGCGGGAGTGCTAACCATTTAGCCACTGTGCTGCCCTGTTAAAGGAGGCATTAAAGGAGATCTATAATCACTACGTACTTTCATTTTATAACCACAGCATTGTAACAGCAATGCAGACGGTAGTTATTTTGACAATACAATAAAGGCAACACTCAATGTTGTGAGTGCTGTCTGTCTACTGGCCATCTTTCCACAACTTCCTGGATTCCCTGCATGCTTTGCAGCTTCTCCTCGCCTATTTACTTTTAAAGTGGAACTATAGGAGAAACTTTTTCTTCATTTTTGGATTGAACAAGGGAGGAGGGTTGTAACCCGTCAGATTTTTTATTTTTTTTTTCATGGTGTCCCATTGCAGAGATTTCACTTAATTTCCTGTCCCATAGCCAAACAGGAAGTAAGACGAAATCCCTGCAAATTAACCATTTTCAGAAGTACTGCCACAGGGTGGCAGGGCTACACAAAATCACGTGTGTGTATATATACGTGATTTGCATTTCTGGGTAGGGTGCGTGCGCGCCACCCTACCCGTGCCGACATTGGTGGCTTGAGATGTCGATCACTGGATCCCGGGCGGCAGTTCCTGGCCAGCACTTGGAGATCGTCAAGTAAAGCTGAAGGGGAGAGACCTATGCGTAAACACAGGTCTCTCTCGTCAGCATGGACATTCTTTTTTTTTTTTTTTAAATCTCTCGGCACAACAGAGAGATACAAAACAGCATGCCTCTCTAGTAAAACGCAGCACACAGTTAACCCTTTGATTGCCCCAGATGATGACCCCTTCCTGCTCAGTGTCATTAGTACAGTGTCATTGCTTTTTATTAGCACTGATCACTGTATTGTCACTGGAGATGTCAGTGTCAGAATGCCTGTCGCAGTCCCGCAATAAGTCGCTGATCGCCGCCATTACTAGTATTTAAAAAAAATATAAATTCCAGTGTGTGTGTGTATATAGACAGTCATTTTGTAGATGCTATAAATTTCATGTGAACTAATTAATTTACAGTCATTGGGATTTTATTTTTGTGTAGCAGAATACATTTTGGCCTAAATCTTATGAAGAAATTTTTTTTTTTTTTTTTTTTTTTTTTTTTTTTTTTTAGATTTTTATTTTATTAATTGGATGTTTTTATAGCAAAGCTATATTTGTGGGGGGAAATTTACCTAAATTTCATTTATGTACAGTGTTGCACGACTGCGCAACTGTCAGTTAAAATAACGCAGCGCCGTATTGCAGAAAATTGCCTGGTCAGAAAGGGGGGTAAATAACCTCCCCACCCCAAAGTCACCAGAACTAGTGTCCCCATTGGAAGATTTTTCCTGTTACTTTTCTAGGGATAATCCAATATTATGGATTTTCTTTTAGTTTCAATGATCATGGTAAACAGCACAAATCGAGAGGATGAATCTCCTTAACAGTGGGCACAGACAGAAATAATACCTGAGCAAGTGTTCTAATCCCTCTGCACTGCATTCAAAACGAAAACAAAGTTTTATTGGTTTTTTTTGTGTTTAGTTCTACTTTAATTTGTAAGGGCTACATATCCTATGGTACCTTTCTGCCTGCAAGCAGTGATTCCTGTACTGTGGCTTCCTAAACCCCCTCCTCCCAGCACCTCTGTAGTTCAGAAGGTAGGCTCTGTGCATTCTGTGATACAGCAGTGTCTACTTACAGGGCATAGTAAATGTCACAGAATTCAACAAAGTAAATGTGTGGGGTTTTTTTTCATCATGTTTACCAACAGATTAATAGGAGTGGACCAGAAATAATTGAAATTCAATGTGGAAATGAATATATGATTGTAAATGTTAACTATATATACCCTTTAAATGTTTGCAGCACTTTTTTACCAGCTAGTTAGGACAAAACAAAACCCCCCAAAAAACTAAGGCTGGCCATACATGGGTCGATTTTCTGAACTATTTTTCACAAAAAAATTGGACATAAGAATAATCGACCGATTTTTTTTTTTTTTTTTTTTTTTTTTTTTTTTTTTTTTTTTTTTTTTTTTTTTTTTTTTTTTTTTTTTTTTTTTTTTTTGCTCTGTTAGTGGGGCACTGGCACTGGCCGATTTTCGTGGTTCCTCCCCATTTCGTTTATTGGACATGTTGGAAAATTTGTGAAAGGACCGATTTTATATTTTATTTATTTTATTTTTTTAAATCATTGGTGGCATCATTGGATTACAGAGAGAACAATGTTTTCGTTAAAAAAATTGTTTGGAATTCGACCCATGTATGGCCTGCTAAAGACCAAACTATCTCAATTTGTGTTAAACAGCTTTTTGTTGCATGCATTTGTGAATATATGGAAAGCCACAATGCTGCACCAAGGCACCTCTGACATGGTAGATCTACCCCTTCAGTTATAGAGCATGATGGGTCCTGCCCCTAAACCCCGCCCCCTCTTTTTGTAAAAAAAAAAAAAATACTTTTAGAAGTAAATCCTTCCCCTTATCAACCCCTAGTTTTCCCATGCTTGGTCAAGTCATGCCCCACCCCCTGTTCCAGAATGTGAAGCTTGTGATTATTTTGCTAACACCAGGAAGGTATAGGGAGCTACTGTATGTCACATGTTATGCGACATGTAAGATCGAATGCTTTGGCCAAGTGCTCAATTAAATTCTTATTTAACCAGAAAGTTTCCTCTGTGCTCCTGTTTGCTTAATAAACAGCATTTGTACCTTCATAATGCATCTCAGCAGCTTACAAGGTTTCTTAATGCGATGCTTCACTCGGGGGGGAACAATTCGGTCAGCAGCTAAAAATCCTTTAGCTGCTGAATTGTAATAAATCGACGCTCGCCTGTCCAGGGATCCAGCACTGTCTTCATTTAGGGCTCGTTCACACTAGGCTGTTTTGCCAACGCTTGCCAAACGCCCCTATAGCGTTTGGCAAGCGTTGGTCCGGTGTTTGCGGAGCGTTTTTAACGCTCGGCAAACGCTCCGCAAAAAACGCCGCATGCGCGGTTTAGCGGCGGTTGCTAGGCGTTTGCCGAGCGTTAATAACGCCCCACAAACGCCTATAATGCATTTGAGTGGTGTTACCCGCTCCGCAAACGCCCCGCAACCGCGTCCGCGTCGCAACCGCACCGCAAACGCCGGGCGTTTGCGGAGCGGCACCATAGACGAGAATAGGAGGCTTCAAAGCCTCCTGACTCGACCAGAGGCGTCCGTTTTGCCGCGACGCAAACGCTCCTGTTAGAACAGCACCATGTGCTGTAATGTGCAGAGTTGGCAGAGGCGTTTGGGAAGCGGTAAAAACGCCTCTCTGCCGCCTGCACACAAGGCTAGTGTGAACGTAGCCTTAGTTAGTTCTTCACTAGCCTCAGGGTTCCCATCATCCTAATTTGTGGGCAGCTGGCTATGCTGCTTTCAGCTGCCTACTGCACATGCAATAGAAGTTTGTGGATAGAAGTTTCATTATTAATCACAAAATTATAACTGTTTTTTTGTTTTGTTTTTTACGCTTTGTACTTTTGTTGTCTTTTAAAAGGTGCATGCTTATATCATCAGTCACCTAAAGAAAGAGATGCCAGCCATGTTTGGAAAAGATACAAAGAAAAAGGAGCTCATTAACAGACTGCCTGAAATCTTCCACCAAATTCAGAGAGAACATCAGATTTCCCCAGGGGACTTTCCTGATGTCAAGCGAATGCAGGTAGGTAGTAGTTCTCTGTACTCTGGAATGCCATGCTGGATCTAATAGTAGCAACAGGAGAAATATAGGCCTATTAATCTAGAAGACCTTGGAAAGTGTAATGTAAGTAGGCGTGTGGAAATTGTTGAAAAAACTACTTGTCCAGGGACTAAATCGGGGCCTCAATCTACTTGTCCCTCATGAGAATCTACTTGTCTTGATGCAAAAAATTTTTTTTTTTGTACCAAAACCATATTTAAAGGGGATTTTAGGAATGTCGGGGGGGGGGGGGGGGGGAGTTTAAAAAAAAAGAGGCTGTACGGCAACTTAAACATGTAATATTTTTACCATTGCGCTGTTTATCTCCTCCTTCCCTCCCTGCCTGTCTCCAGCACCGCACCCGGGGGCCAGCAGGGAGGGGAGAGACCTTGCATTGTGATGAACACCGATCGGCTGCTGTTTGTCAGGAAAGGGGAGTGTCAGGCTTATCCTTTATCCCTTTCTCTGCCAGAGCCGGTTTTGCGTTTTTTTGCACACTTTTAAAAGATCATACAAAACTCCCAAACATTCTATATTTAATGAAAGCCGAGACCCTAGAGAATAAAATAGTGGTAGTTCCAGTTTTTTATGTTGCACAAAATTTTAGTAAGAAATACAAGCAAGTTAATTTTAGGGCACAAAAAAGCAATGGTACCCTATTTTTTTGTAAAATATAAAAGATGAGGTTGCAGCAAGTAAATAGATATCAAACTTGTAAAACCTTAAATTTGTGCGCTCGTGAAATGGCGACGAGCTTCAGTACCCTATATTTTCTATAAGTGACACTTTTAAAGCTCCTGATAAGGTCATCAGTATAGTGTACGGAGGTGGTCTGGTGCTAGAATTATTGCTCTCATTCTGGCGTGTGCGGTGACATGTGTATCGCAATCGACGGTTTCATGCGTAGGCTCCCCAGTGTGTGCTTTTACGTTTGTATGTGCGTATATGTGGGGGGGTCTCACTTTTTTTGGGGGGGGGTGGTATATCACTTCCCGGGTCAGCACAAGAAGGGGAGTAGAGTGGACTTGTCCGCTCTTCTCCCTCCTCTCTAGCCGACGGCGAGCCGGGCCCGCAGATGGGCAAGCTCGGGAAACTTGATGCCGGGGCACGAAGAGGCTGGCACTGTGTGAAAGCAATTGGTGGTAGTGTTGCCGCCGATTACGTCACCTGACAGGTGAGCCCTGCTGCTCGCTCACAGCAGGGCTAAAAGAGGAAAAGAACTACCTGCCTGGCGCCCTGAACTACATGTCTCGGGCGATAGGCATGAACACTGTTTTGTATGCTGCTAGGGTATACTGACACAGGGATGTTTGATTCCTATCTTTAGCTATGGGAAATTCTTGTTTGTTGTATCTCAGTCCACAAACAAGAACTAAGTAAACAACTCTGGCATGCTTCTACTTCAGCATTTCCTAGTAGATGCTTTGGCTGCTCAGAGGCCCTCGTATTGTGAATTGCTGGGGCAGCAATAGCAGAACTCTGACTTGAGGATTATGGGTAATGATTGTGAAATGAGCACACTCACGGTTGGGAGCTGTGAGAATGCACAGAAATAGATTTACATATTACTGTAGTTGCAGGTTATTTGTGACATCTTTTCTTAAAGATTAGTGTTGCTAAACCCTGGACCCTGCAATCACTATATCTGGTCTCCCACAGTACACACAACATGGAAATGCAATTATTTTCATAAATATAAACTGCTAAATATCTTTTCTGACCCTCTGTCTGGACAGCACTGATTGGCCCCTGTGCTGATCACATGCACTCCCCCAAGAAAAGAACAAAAACTCTGCACATGCTCAGTTTTGGTTTGTATTGCTAGAGTCTCCAAGTCTCTGTTCTATCAGCAGATGGATTGGGGAGAGTAGAATAAGGGGAGGATCAGAGAAGACGGGATCAAACATCTCTTACACAATGTGGAGGATTAACCCCTTAGGTTCCTCAGTGAGTATAGAAAGCGTGCTTTACTGAATATACAGACTGATTTTACTGTTGTGGGTTTAGTAACACTTTAAGTTGGCTGAACATAATTTGTTTGGCCCTTCCCCTTTTAAGTTGCCATATATTTAGTCTAGAGAAGTGATTTTATATAATTCAAAAGCCAGAGCTACAAGTGATTTGTCATGCTCAAAACCGGGCCTGTCTTTTATTTATTTTACAGTTTTGTGCTGCAAAGGTTTTTGCTTGATGCTTTTATTAAAATTAAATAAATATTAAGTTAAAATATGCTTGGGAAAAGATGACCTAAATGTTGTCCTTTGTTTATCATCCACAGCAACAGCTGGAGTTATATGACTTTTCAAAGTTTCACGCTCTGAAGCCCAAGTTGATTGAGTCTGTAGATAACATGCTAGCCAACAAAATCGCTCCTCTGATGAGTATGATACGGGAGGAAGAGAGCAGTATGCCACCCACAGATGGTGCATGGTGGCGCTTTTGAGGGCACCAATGAGGGTCCTTTTGGCCAAGGTTATGGAGAAGGAGCTGGTGAGGGTGCTGGAGAAGAAGAATGGGTGGTGGCCAGAGATAAACCTGTTTATGATGAAATCTTTTATACCCTCTCACCGATAAATGGCAAGATCTCCGGAATTAATGCCAAGAAAGAGATGGTGAACTCAAAGTTGCCAAATACCGTTCTGGGAAAAATCTGGAAGTTGGCTGATAATGATAAGGATGGAATGTTGGATGAAGAGGAATTTGCCTTGGCAAAGCATCTTATTAAGATTAAACTGGAGGGCTATGAGTTGCCCAACGACCTACCTCCTCACCTCATACCTCCATCTCAGAGGAAGCCAGTCTATGACTCTGAGTGAAAAGCCCTACAGTGGGAGAGGAACCATACCTTTGTGACAGCCAGAGAACTCAACTATCTAGAGAAGTTTTACAGCATAGCATCAATATTTTTTTTTATTATGTTCACTGAAGAATGTGTCCCTTCTGTACTCCTCTAAATCAGATATTTTTTTTCTAAAAGATAGAATGTCTTCTTAGATTGCAGAATGTGAGCGATGCCTTCTCTTGGTTTATAAACCCTAAATTTAAAAATTTACTTTACAGATCATTCTGTATAACTAGGCAGACCTACAGGGAAAGGCAAATTGAACATAATAATGAGATCCTTTCCATTATTCAAAATGCACACAAATGGAATTTCTTGGTAGAACAATGTGCCCGGTGCAGTAACCCATAGCAACTAGTCTGCAATCATCTCTGCTCCTAATTGGTAAAAGGAGAAGCCTGGCTGATTGCTATGGATTACTGCTCATCTTTACCCCTTTGTGCATCAAACAGAGTAAAATGGAACTCTAGGTAAACCACTTAAAAGAAGTTATTTTGTTTTCTTTCCCCGTTGCCTAGGTGGATGCAACATTGGTCCCATGCCAGCTCTAAGACTGAGCTTTTTATGGGATCAAAGACTGCTGTTTGCTCAGTTCTCAGTGCTCCATGAGCAGAGAGATGGTGACTCTCTGCTTTGCCAAACCAGCTTTGGCTGTTGTTATCCTTTACCCCAGTTCACATCTGCGCGGGTGGTGCCGCTGCGGATCTGCACGAAAATGCGTGCAGCCGCACCACCCGCACAGAGAATTGCGGACCCGCGGGCGGGTGCCATTAGTTCTAATGGCACGCCGCCCACACTGGGAAACGCAACCGTACTGGGAACCAAGGTTCCCGTGCAGACTGTGGTTTCCAAAGTAGTGCAGGGACTTCTTTCCCTGCGTGGCATGGGAGTCCATTCAAATGAATGAGCTCTCGTGCCCGAGCAAAACGTGGCCCGCACAGCTGCATAGTTGTGAACCGGGGGGGTAAATGCAGAGCTGGATTACAAACATGTGAATGGTTTTACCTTCTGAAGGAATTGTAATTCTGTTCACATACCTAGGTCACCCTCCCACAGCCAGCTCTATGACTTCCTGATCAGCTTTACTGCAGCCTGGGTTACCTCCCTGCTAATTGAACAGATTCTGACTCCTAGTACATAGAGGTGAAATAGAAACCTACAAGATCCTACAATTTGGAGGAAGTGTGAGCACCACAATACTAGCTCAACAAAATTATAAATGCTTTGAAATAGTCTATGGAAATGTATTTCAACTGTGTCTTTACTTGGAGTTCTGTTTTAGAAGCCATTCTCAGATCTGAGCTGGGGCAGCAGATTTTGAGGTTGTAACAATTTTAAACGTAAGTGGTTTGTCTCTTGTTAAAACAAGTGTAAACACCCTCTGTATAGTATATTTTGCTCAAGCTTCTTTATTTGTGCAGAAAATTGCGCCATTCCAGTTTCCAGCATGGTTTATGATAGCCATTGTAGGTGTTAAAAGAAACTAAATAAATAAATCACTAGATTCTCACAATTAATATAATAGATCAGTGTATATAGAGACAATGTTTTAAAGGAATTATTAAATAAGTAATATTTTTAAATGTTGATGGCTGTTGTGAAGTAAGAAATAACTGGAACATCCTAAATTGCAGGTGGGACCAGCCTTATTGTATACATATTTTTCTTCTGTATTTAAATCTTTTGCACTAAACATTGCTTTTTATGGGTTTAAACATTTTTTTTTTAACTTGTACTGTATCTAATATAAATATATAATGCATAAAGATGTTTGTCATCTGTACACCTGAAATGCCTAATTTGATCAAAGTGTTTTTTTTTTTTCCAGATAGAAAATAAAATATTTGTTTTGCTAATTTAGTGTGATGACTTACCCTAATCATTTTTTTTTTTTTTTTTTTTTTTTGTTCCCCCCCCCCCAAGGAAACGTGCTTTTTTCTTCTTTCACAATGTCCATGTGCAAACACTCCTTCATATACTAATGCGAAGTACAATGTGCAGAATGCAGCTAACCTCACACACCTTTTTATAATAATCTCAGACTAGTGAAAGATTTAAACACAGATGAGTTTGTTTTTTTTGTTTAAATCAGCCAGCGGGCTGAAAGCAAAAAAAAAATAAAAATAAAATAAAAATCCATCCAACATATTCCTCCATCCACACAAATAAGGTAGGTGAAGGAATCCGCCAACTTCCCCTAAACCCCCAACCCCCCCCCCCCCCCCCTCCCCAGGTCTGCTAGAGAACACTGATCAAGCAAATTCTGTTGAATGAACAAGTTAGAAAACTTTTGCTGAACAGTCAACATATGCTGAACAGGTATGGCCTTAGCTGTCAAATTTTTTAAAAAACATGGCTGTGCGGGGCTCTGCCCACATGGGCACGTCACGCATTCGCAGTCATCTGTGAATGAGAGACTACAAGCCCGACAGCCTTATGGGCTTGTAGTCCTCAAACTGCACAGCGCTGTGGTAGTTCTTTCATTCTTCCTGTCAGTATATCTGCTTGCCAATATGGGATGTATGGGCAAGCAGATATACTGACAGATCTGCAGGAGGCCTGCATGGCACCAGTGATCTGCTGATTGCTGGTGCAATGGTTTACAGGCTCCTGCAGGCAAAAATAATAGATGCACTTTTTTGTTTTGTTTTTTGTTTTTTTGTTACCTGCAAAAAAAGTGCATTTATACTTTTTCTAAAAGTTGAACTTATCCTTTTAAGTAAACCATGCCTGAGTTCAAGTCTCCTCTGTCCCCATTCCCCTGCTGGGAAGTGTTCTTGGGCGCTCGTCCCTGCTATCCAGACCAGGGATCCCTATTTTACTGCACAGTTCTTTTTGCACTGCAGCAAACCATTATGCTCCATAGGTGGACTGAGTCCAGGACTACCGGTTCCGACTGGGTCAGGGCGTGGTTCAGAGAAATCTCACTGCACAAACTGCGCCAAGGAGCTGAACAGTGCCTGGGACTGGTTAAAAGTGCAGAGAGTGAGGGTGTACTCACTGGCAAAGTCCCAAAAATACTTGTTAATACTGCCAGTGAAGTCCACCTCTCCAAATTTCCTCCCATGGGGTGATAATGCTGCTGCACTGCTAGTGACTTCAGAGCAGAGTTTTCAGCCAGGTGCGTTTACAAAATATAAACGTGCAGTGCTAAAATGTGATGAAACTACAAATCCATCAAGTCAATTAAACTCCTGGGATACTGATCTGGTCAGTTAAGTAGCAGAGGGGGTTGTTAATCAGTCTCAGCTGCTTTTGGGGTAATGAAATTAACAGGTGCACTAGATAGGCAACAATGTGATGACTCCCAAAACAGGAATGGTTTTACAGGTGCAGCCACTGACATTTTTTTTCCCTACTCCTCTTTTCTGACTGTTTTTCACTAGTTTTGCATTTGGCTAGGGTCAGTGTCACTACTGGTAAAATGAGGCGATACCTGGACCCTACAGAGGTTGCACAGGCAGGCCAACTCTTCCAAGTGGGCATACCATTACGTGCCATTGCCAGAAGGTTGGCTCTCTCCCAGCACAGTCTCAAGAGCATGGAAGAGATTCCAGGAGACAGGCAGTTACACTAGGAGAGCTGGACAGGGCCGTAGAAGGTCCTTAACCCATCAGCAGGACAGGTATCTGCTCCTTTGTGCAAGGAGGAACAGGATGAGTGCTGCCAGAGCCCTACAAAATGACCTCCAGCAGGCCACTGGTGTGAATGTCTCTGACCAAACAATCAAACAGACTTCATGAGGGTGGCCTGAGGGCCCGACGTCCTCTAGTGGGCCCTGTACTCTCTGCCCAGCACCATAGAGCTTGATTGGCATTTGCCATTGAACACTAGAATTGGCAGGTCCACCACTGGCGCCCTGTGCTTTTCACAGATGAGAGCAGGTTCACCCTGAGCACATGTGACAGATATGAAAGGGTCTGGAGAAGCCGTGGAGAATGTTATGCTGCCTGTAACATTGTTCAGCATGACCGTTTTGGTGGTGGGTCAGTGCTGATCTGGGGAGGCATATCCATGGAGGGATGCACAGACCTCTATAGGCTAGCCGCTAGACCATGACACTCTGACTGCCATTAGGTATCAGGATGAAATCCTTGGACCCATTGTCAGACCCTACACTGGTGCAGTGGGTCCTGGGTTCCTCCTGGTGCACGACTATTCCCGACCTGATGTGGTGCGAGGTATTCAGGCAGTTCCTGGAGAATGAAGGCATTAATACCATTGAATGGTCCCCACACTTGCCTCACCTAAAATCCTATAGAACACCTCTGGGATATCATGTTTCAGTCCATCTGAAGCCACCAGGTTGCACTTCAGACTGTCAAGGAGCTCAGTGCCACTCTAGTCCATATCTGGGGGCAAATACTGCATCTCATCTCATTAGGAGCATGTCCTGACGTCAGGCATGCATACAAGCACGTGGGGGCCATACAAACTGAGTACTAATTTGAGTTGCAATGAAATTTCATCAAAATTGACTAGCCTGCTGCATCACTTTTTTACTTTGATGGAAATGAAAATTCGTGACCTACAACAGCCTGAATTTAAACAATTGGGCCTCCTTACATTTCTAATACATTACCCAGTCCATATTAGCATACTAGAAATCCAGCAATTAAATTTTTCTCCGTTGAGATCTGATGTGTTTTCAATGTGTTTCTTTAATTTTTTTGAGCATGTATGTAAAAAAAAAATACACAATGACACTGAATGGAATAAAACGTAGTGTAAACAGGTGAAAATGAGAACAATTCCTATAGCTACAGTATATACAATTCATGTGCAAACACATACAGTACAAAAGTGAAAAAGTTCCATGCATACATATTTCTTATGTGCAACAACACTACTTCTGATGAAATGGTGATTCCACACTCATATTAAAGCTCCTTTTACATGGGGTGGACACTGCCTACAATCCACTTCCTCAGTGGGAGATCTGACTGGATCCCCCATGAAGAGGGTGAATGACAG